TAATCAGAACAGGATATAAAATATCTTAATGAAATAGTGATCTTTATCTATCCTTAGGTTTATATCATTCATGATCAATAATACTACAAAGAAATTAATTTTCATTTAAATCAAATTTCTTTGACAGCTGATTCAAATGCTCTAACAGTTTGTGCTTGTCATAGATATGATCAGAAATGATAAGATTATAAGCCAAAATATGATAATCACTTTATAACCCCTTGGTTTGAGTTGTTAAGTAAGAGCATATATATGTGTGTGTGTGTGTGTGTGTGTGTGTGTGTGTGTGTGTGTGTGTGTGTGTGTGTGTGTGTGTGTGTGTGTGTGTGTGTGTGTGTGTGTGTGTGTGTGTGTGTGTGTGTGTGTGTGTGTGTGTGTGTGTGTGTGTGTGTGTGTGTGTGTGTGTGTGTGTGTGTGTGTGTGTGTGTGTGTGTGTGTGTGTGTGTGTGTGTGTGTGTGTGTGTGTGTGTGTGTGTGTGTGTGTGTGTGTGTGTGTGTGTGTGTGTGTGTGTGTGTGTGTGTGTGTGTGCCAGCACATCAAAGCAAATGCAACCACAGACTGCAACTTGCATCTTCAACATTCATATCTAGTAACAAACTAAAGATGTAGGGGGCAACACACACACACACACACACACACACACACACACACACACACACACACACACACACACACACACACACACACACACACACACACACACACTCACACTCACACACACACCACACACTCACACTCACACTCACACTCACACACTCACACTCACACACTCACACTCACCACACTCAACTCACACTCACACTCACCACTCACACTCACACCACACACTCACACTCAACACACTCACACTCAACCACACTCACACTCAACCACACTCACACTCAACCACACTCACACGACACACTCACACTCAACCACTCACACTCACGACTCACGTCTCTCTCTCTCTCACTCTCACACTCACTCACTCACTCTCACTCACTCACTCACTCACTCACTCTCTCTCTCTCTCTCTCTCTCTCTCTCTCTCTCTCTCTCTCTCTCTCCTCTCTCTCTCTCTCTCTCTTCTCTCTCACTCTCACTCTCACTCTCACTCTCACTCTCTCTCACTCACTCTCACTCTCTCTCTCCTCTCTCTCTCTCTCTCTCTCTCCTCTCCTCTCTCTCTTCTCTCTCACTTCTCATTCACTCCATTCTCATTCTCATTTCTCACATTCTCATTTCATTCTCATTCTCATTCTTCTCATCTCACTCTCACTCTCACTCTCCACTCTCACTCTCACTCTCACTCTCATTCTCATTCTCATCTCATTCTCATTCTCATTCTCATTCTCATTCTCATTTCACTCTCACTCTCCACTCTCACTCTCCAATATATATAATATAATATATATATATATATATATATATATATATATATATATATTTACAGATACAGTTTTATAGACTTCCCTTTAATGGATATTTGGTAGCAACGAACAATATATGGAGCAGGTGACTACATCTGTAAGTCCCACAAACTGCTGTGGCAACATTGGCCATGAGCCACTGCTTCATGAACTGACTGCTAGTTGGAGGGCTGTCACTTTGTTTACATCAGTGCAACATTTACAATTCATGGTTTACCATTTATCTATAACCTTGTCATCTGGAGGAAATGCAGAAAAGGGTGTTTTTTTGTTTAAAATCACATCTATATAGCCCTGGTTATAGCTTGAAAATTCCTCTAGAATTGCTCGACCATAATATATTCTACCTTCCCCAGTACCAATAACATTTTACAAATCTGAATATCCTTTGCACCTTTTCTAAATGCTTTAAATGTGTAAAGAAATCACACAAAATTTATCTAAATAGCTGATGCTATTAAACTAAAAATGTAAAAATAGTTTACCTGCACTTTTGTCAAACTGAAATGATTACCCCACTCTGAAACCTCTCTATTGAGATAAGTCATCTAAATATCTCATTCAGAACTCTCTACTACTCCTGATGTGCAGTCAACAAAAAGTGTCTTCATATAATTAATTTTGAAACAAAATTGCATATTCTAATTGTATTTCTATTGCCCGTAGGACTGAGTTTAAAAGAAAATAAGTTTGAGAATTATAAAAAGTGATCATTAAGCTTACAACAAGTCTAGTTGCTAACATTTGTCAATCAGTGTGCAAAACTTTTTCATATTAAATCTACCATTCAGTAACATTAAGAAATAAAGTGTGGAAAGAAACAGCTCCGTCAAAATAATGTGAATCCGTGTCTTCTAGCTTATTATCAACTAAAACGAAATAATGGTTTCTGGACACTTGCTCAGGTACTAATAGAATACAGTTGATAATACCAGAGAATGTAATTTAAAAATCTGATTATTATTACTATCATTATCATTACCATTACCATTACCATTACCAGTATTACCAGTATCTTATCATCATCATCATCATCATCACCCATCATCATTATCACATTTCTATCATAATCATCATACATCATAATCATAATCATAATCATGATCATAATCATAATCATAATCATCATATATATATATATATATATATATATACATATACATATATATATATATATATCTATATATACATATCCATATATATCATAATATAATATATATATATATATATATATATATATATATATATATATATATATATATATATATATATATACATATATATATGTAAGACAATCCACCAATAAAAACTTCATAGGGAGTTCATGTCTACGGAAGCTAATCTTGGCATTATTGACATGGAACTTACGCTGGCCTCTGGGAGGAATAGTGTAACACGGTACTGCTACTGCATCATAATCAGCAAGGCAGGTAAGTAGGTCATTTTCACAATCTGACCAGTTCTTGTCATATATGGGACAATCAGCCAGGGGGGATAGAGACAGTTGCAGGGCAAGTATTATGAGAGAGTGAGTTTGGCAGGAATGGCTTTGCCAGTAAGGTCATTTAGGATAGACAGTGCACAAGCTTGGTATTCTGATGGAACCGTGACTAGGCGTGAACTATCTGAGTGACGGAGAAAGGTAACTTTGCCTACTTGTTTTTGGAGGCACTGTTGAAAGGGAAGGGTATTCTCAGAGTAGGGACTGTGGTGGGAATCACAAAGAATCAATCTCACTTGGCTGGGCCAAAGAGAGTACTCAAAAGGTTTGCCAAGGTAGAGGCAGTAAAAGGACGAGGGCAGGTGCAAGATGGGGTGGTGTAGAGCGGAGTAGTTCTGTGGGGGGGAGACAATAAGGATGAATAGTAGTAATAAGGGAAGAGGGGGTAGCCATTGAAGAAGACTGTGCAGTAGGAGATAGAGAAGAGAATGTTGGGAGAGAGGAAGGGGTGAATTCTGGAGGTTGAGTAATAACCTGTGTGGGTGATTCAGAATATAAAGAATTTTCAGTAAACGTCGAGGAGGGGGTATTAGTATCAGTGGTCAGAGCCTTGGTCAAAGGAGGGGCAAGGGGTCGGAAAATCATCAAAATCAAAATCAGATAGGCTAGTTAATGCAAAGGTAAGCCTTAATGCCCTTATTAAAGGTAAAGAATCTTCATTATTGACCATGGTGAGTCTGAATAAAAAGGGGAAAAGAAAAGGTCTACCACTCAGGGTCCCCATAAGGGGTAAGGGGTTAGCAATTAACCAAGGGAATACCATGCCCATGGCTCCTGGAGGCCACACATGACTGACATAAAGCCAGCATTTCATCCTTTCAGCACAGCTCTCACACCTTTGGAATGGAATAGAAGAAGGGGATGAAGAAGATACAGAAGAGGAAAGGAGGAGAAGAAAAGACCAAGAAAAATTAGCTGAGGTGAGGGCTGAAGTCCAAGGTAAGGGCAATCCATACACTGGGCTCCAGTTTTCGTCTCCTAAGCCCCCCATGACAACAACAAGCAAGGTATAGTGAGAGTATATTGTTGACAAGTTCAGTAAGCAAAATATACTATAAGTTGATATTTTACTTGGACTTGATAGTGCGTATATACATCTCATCTCAACAGAGCATTAATCTCATGTCTGCCTCAGTCATGTATCTGATACACTATATATTGAATGGATTAAAATTACATTCAGTTTTTGGAATTACTTTAACCAATCATGGTTAGCGCATACATTGATCTACCTGTCTATCCTTCCTGTTGCTGACAAGTTATTTCCTAATAGTTGATCTATCTGTAAGTAGCATAATTTGTTTATGACTTGTACATTTATGGGTAGATAGAGGAATCTTAGATATATGTATTGTGTCTAATGATACTTGCTTTACCATGTTAACTTTTATAAAATATCTTGATTAATTTGCCACCCCATGGATGTACACCGACTCTGAAGTTCCTCAACTATCAAATGGTACATGTAAGGCTGTGCTCCATAATAACTTTATTTTCTCATTTAAACCCACAATTCCCCCAACATTTTCTAGCTCATTACAAATATCTGGCCCAGAATCGTCAATAGCCTTTTTAAGCCCTGCAGGAAACTAGAGTGAATAAAGAGTATTGATACGAGGTCTAAACCCAGTCCCTTGTTGTTATGATTTGGCATGCATACTTCTTATAAAGAATTAAAGGAGTAAATACAAGTGTTTAATCTGAAGACAAATATTTTGTTACTAATCCCAGGTACAACAAACGTCAGATAGCGTGAACACCTCAATATTCTTTCCACTAATTCTACCCAAGGGATGAACCAGAAGTGGAGAAAGAGGGAGATTATTTCCATGGTTTTATTACACCCATACGCAGCCTTACGCTAAACCACATCATTACTATAGGAAAAAGAAATCCTACACTAACCTTGGCATCCGAAATTTTCCCTTTACTTTCCCTTTCCAGCCCCTGATAACATACTCGGTCGCTTACTCAACGGTAGAGGCACAACGCAATACTAAAGAAACTCATTTTCTTTTCCGCCAATGCCTAACTAATCCATATTGGCGTTTGAAAGAACACTATTTAAAATGTCACGACAGTAGGAAAAACTTGGAATACTTCTGTTGTATATTAACTCTTTTCTATCGATAAAATAAATTTACAACAGGAATGTGTACTTGCCTTTCCGTTTGTTTACATTTGTGTCCCGATCTAAATAAAAGAATGAACTCATTCGAACGTTCGACCACGATGCATGAACACAAAATTCATTAAATTAATCCTACGATCTGTCACTAGGCGCGGCTAAAAATTATAATGGTTTTGTAAAGAACAATAATTATTTAAACGTGTTCAGATATGCAAGAAAGGATAATTATAATGCTAATGCCCGTGCGAAGTCGTTTAACAATACATTCGAATGAAATCGGAGTACGATCACGCCCGCAGGCAAAACTCCTCACAGTCTTATCTCAGGTGTCAATTTTAGAAGACGCGGTTGGGTACCTGGCAATCACCGACAGTCATTAATTCCGTGAGTAAATGCTTGCCAATGAGCTGAAGACAGCCCCTTTATTCTTATAATGGACAGTACGCTATTATTGTCAAAGTTCTGCATGTGCTGAATTGGATGGCGTTAGCACTGTCAGTTTAAGTCTATCGTGATCCCATGATTGTTCGTGAAACTTGTCCTCGAATGATATAGATGAGTTGGTTCTCTGGCAAAAGGGAATGGGAAAAATTGGTATTGTGTTTAGGTAATGTTACTGAAGTCGAGAATGGTAAAAGTTGGAGATCCCGCACCCCGCAATGACCTCCAAGGGAAATGGGAATTATGAGATTCTCAATCTCAATCTCAATAATAATGCACAGGGCGCTAGTGAGCGCATAACACGCATGGCAGCAGCACGAAAAAGAAGTAAAGTTAAGTTGCTGCCAGAGAGATTAGTATGAAATTTAAGTTAAGTTAAAAACAACCCCTTAATGTTGCTTATTAGAAATTTAAAAAACCGTTCACGCCACATTGAATATTACACCGGCGGCACTACATTCATCAGCTATTATGGTTGTTATAGAAAGCTATTACCGTAGTTCATATTTTTGCAATATCTTATTTTTAATAAAGGGACACGGTGGATGTTATTTAACAAGGGAGATATGATATGGCCATTATTGCAATGTTTCAGGTGTCTTAATTAGTTATGTGGCAGTTGATCTTATCTAACTAGCTTAATCTCTCTCTCTCTCTCTCTCTCTCTCTCTATCTCTCTCTCTCTCTCTCTCTCTCTCTCTCTCTCTCTCTCTCTCTCTCTCTCTCTCTCTCTCTCTCTCTCTCTCTCTCTCTCTCTCTCTCTCTCTCTTTACACATACAAGTACATACCTACATGCATACATTTACATACATACCATGTACTAGAATAGTTCAAACTCATAGACGCACATCATATCCACATACAAAAAAAAAAAAAAAAATAGTCATGAACCACACACATACACATACACATACATGTTTATGCACACACACACACGCACACACACGCACGCACACGCCCACACGCCCACACGTACGCATATACACGCACACCCCCCCCCCTACACATACAGCGTCATTCACTTGCTCGATATTGACGTGTAACAGTCGCATTCGTTGCCTTGGTGATTATCAGGCACGCCCAATCCTCCGTGGGCGGGTAGCTTGATTAACGAAAGGAGGGAATTGTTTCCATATTAACACGTTGTTTGAGTCCACAAAAAAATCCTAAATGTTGCTTTTAAGGTTTTTTTTTTAGCCTTTTAACGATTTTTCCTTTTTTTTAGCCTTTGACGTTTTTTCCTTCCTTTCTTTGTGTTTCTTTTTTTTTTGGAATTCCATTTTTATCAAACCTTCTTTTCGGAAGTCACAAAGTCCGGAGGAATTCCTTTCTGGTCTTCCGTCGTTGCGTTGTTTTCGTCGGCGGATATGCAAGAATCGAGACTCCAATTGGATGGTTGATATTCAGTTGAGAGAGAGGCCTGTGGGGATTGAGAAAGGGGGGGGTGGGGAGGAGGTGGAGAGAGAGAGAGAGCTTGGGTTGAAAGAAACGGAAGAATGTGGCGAAGGTGGGGAGGGGGGGCCCGTCTCCCCCTTCGCTCTTCCCTCCCGACGTGTCTTCCAGCTCTCCGTCTCTGCCTATCTCTTCGTATGTTTGTGTCCTCTCTCTCCCTCTCTTTTCTTTCCGCTCTCTTTTTCTCCCTCCTACCTCCTCCGTTTCCTTTTTCTCTTTTATTTTTTTTTCTCTGTCCTCCCTCTTTGTTCGTTTCAATTCTCCCTTTCTTTTTCTCTCTCCTACCTCCCTCGTTCTCTTTCTTTCTGTCGTTTTCCGTTTCTTTTATTCTTTCTCTTTCTCTCCTGCTCCTCCCCTTCCTTTCTCCTTTTCCCCGATTCATTTCCTCCCTCCTTTCATTCACTTCCCCATTTCTTCCTTCCTACTCTTCATCTTCCCTCCTCCCTCCTCCTCTCTTTCCCCTATCCTCTCCTCTGCCCCCCTACCCTGTCATCTTGCATCCTCTACCCTCCACCTACCCTTTCCTCACCCTTCCGTTACCTTCTCCTCCTCTCCCCTCCCCTACTCTCTCCAATCCCCTCCCACTAACCCCAACCATCTCCTCTCCTCTCCTCTACCTACCTCTCCTCACCCTCCCTTACCCTCTCCTCACCCTCCCCTCCCTCTCCTCCCTTCCCTTACCCTCCTCTCTCCCCTCTCCTCCCCTCTCATCCCTTCCTTACCCTCTTCTCTCCCCCTCCTATCTCCTCTCCCCCCTCCTCACCCCTCTCCTCCCCTCACCTCCCCACCCTCCCCTCCCCTCTCTTCTCCTCCCCTGCCCTCCCCTCCCCTCCCCTCCCCTCCCTCCCCTATATCTCCTCTCCCCTCCTTACCCCTCCTCCCCTCACCTCCCCCTCCCCCCCCCTCCCCACCTACCTCACCCTCTCCTCCCCTTACCCTCCTCTTTCCGCCCCCCCCTCCTCTCCCCTCCCCCCTGTACCCAGTCACCGTCCGCCACCATTGATTGTGTTTATCATATCGAGTCTAATCAGCGTGAAAGCAGCCAGCTGTCAGCCTGTATACGTATCAGCATCTCCGTTAGTATTTTTTCCTCTTTCTAGGTGGACGTGTGCGTTGGTTGTCTCTCCTTCGTAGCGCGTGTCAGCTGTTTCGGATTATGTCTTGTCTGGAAGGTAAAAGAGGGTGGGTAGGGATGCTGGGCGGTGTCTCTCCTCGCTGGTATAAGTAGGGGAGATGGTTTTGCTGCTGGTGTTGTTGTTTGTATTTAGCTGTACTCGTTGGTTGACGGGGAGTTCGTTAAGGGTATGTGTTTTACCCTTTTTTTTTTTTTTTTTTTTTTTTTTTTTTTTTTTTTTTTTTTTTTTTTTTTTTTTTTTGGGGGGGTGCTTATTTGGTTTTAAATGTGTGAGTGAATGGCCGTTGTTTTGAGGTTGGCGTAATCGTTATGATCTTAGTACTGTCGTTATCGTCATTATCATCGGCGTCGTTATGGTCATCATCATCATCATCATCATTATCATTCATACAATCATTATTATTGCCATACCACCACCGCCATCATCATAATCATCATCATCATCATCATCATCATCATCATCATCATCATCATCATCAATCATCATTGTCATCACCTTCCCAGTCCACCTCGCCCCGTCATTTACTTGTACATGTATCCTATCTATCTATGCCTATCCATACTTTCTTGATTTTTTTTTCTCTTATTTATGTATTTATTCCTTTTCCGTTTATTTTCCTCTCCAGGTATGGTCCTAGCGAGGTGGTTGACCTTCCTGACCGCCGCCCTCTCGCTCGCCCTGCTCGCCCCCCCCGCCGCCGCCTCCGCCATGCCCCTGGTCCCGAGCCTCCCCAAGACCGTGGAGGAGGAGGGCGTGTCCCTCGTCAACATCTGGAGCCACGCCCTCAGGAACCAGAAGGACGAGGGCGGGAGTCCCCTCGTGAGGAGCGAACCAGGTAAGGAGGACGAGAGAGAGAGGGAAGGAGAGGTTAGACAGAGAGAGAGAAGAGAGGAAGAGAGAGAGAGAGAGAGAGAGAGAGAGAGAGAGAGAGAGAGAGAGAAGAGGGAGGGAGGAGAGAGAGAGAGAGGGGGGGGAAAGAGAGAGATTCATTTGTTTAATCCTAAAACAGACGTTGATGGATTATGTAGTCAGTGCAGATTTTGATACTGTAGCCTTTTTGTTTGTTTGTTTGTTTTGCACAGCCCTCCATAAGAAATCACTCCAAATAAGTAAAAAAGATCAAGATCATAATAAACATAAGAAAATCGGGCCTCCTCCATAGGTCTAGCCCCCCCCTTCCCCCCGCCACCAGGTCATGAGCGGCGCCCCAGGTGCTGGAGACGAACAACCTTCTTCCCTCCCCCCCCCCCGACCGGATCTCTCTTGACTTCAATGGTACTTTCCCCCCTCAGACCCCGCCCCCTTCTTCCGCTCAGACCGTAGCGTTCTCGTCCCCCTTTTCTCTCCCTCAGGTCCCAAGACGATCCTGGCCCCGAGCCCCTTCTTGATGATGAACCTGGTGCCCCAAGACGCGGCCCACCCGCTCTACAGCAACAAGTACGCCGACCTCCGCACGGAGTTCCTTCTCGACTACATGCTGGAGGCCGACGTCTCTCCCGACGACCCCAAGATGGCGGAGGAGGAGGGGCTGACGGTGCCCAATCTGTTCGGGAAGTCGATCACCTTTAGGAAGGATGCCGACGGTAAGTGTTCTTTGTGTGTTGTGTGTGTGTGTGTGTGTGTGTGGTGTGTGTGTGTGTGTGTGTGTGTGTGTGTGTGTGTGTGTGTGTGTGTGTGTTGTGTGTGTGCGTTTGTGTGTGAGGACCTGTTGCATATTCGGAGAACTTTGTTCATCGAAGTATTTTTTTTCGTGTATTTGTAATCGAGTCCGGTATAGAGATAAGGCAGGAAAGAGAAACATTTTTAAAACGTAATCTGAATATTACAGTATGGCTGCTGGCGTGCCATCGGGCAATCCGTCTTTCTCCATCAAGATCTCTTTTTCGTTGTTCATAGCTGCTCAAAGCATTCCTATGAGTGCAAGTAGTTATTTCTGTCGCCCAGCGCTTTCATCAGTCATCACAGGAACAACACAGCGCTCAAAAGAGTGATAATCTAAATATAAACTTTAAACCAGACCAACACAGTAAAATGACAAAGGAAGGTGAAAATAACTCGTGTTTTAGGGAAGGGAAGTGGGAAATAAGTCTCATATGAGAGAAGGGTAAGTTAACAACACCTCTTTCCTCTCACCTCTTAGGGAGAGAGAGAGAGAGAGAGAAATAAAGAGGAGGGGGATATATATAGTTAGAGATAGAGAGAGAGAAGAGAAGAAAAGGGAAAGTAAGTAAAACATTATATCTTTCTTTCGGTTGTCAGGGAAAACAAGGTAGGAGCTAGAAGTACTCAAGAGGGCGCATACCTCCGCCAAGGCAATAGGGTCACTGACGCATTAAAGATATTCCCACTCGAAGAATTGCATCAAAATCGCCTTTTTTTCTCTCTCTCTCTCTCTCTCAAGTTTCCGCATCTCGCAACGCTAATGAATCCTTAATTAAAAAGATTATTGGATCCGGGTCACCACCAAACTTTAAAGGCATCAAAGTTGGGCTAAGACACATCTCTGGTAGAATATATAAATATCTGTCCGTGACTTATTGAGTTATCCTGCTTAACCAACTGACTAACAAACTAACCAACGTTACCGAAAGCATAACCTTGGCGGAGGGAATAACTTCTCACACATTAGAGAAAGAACAAGTCCCTCTCTCGCATTACAGACTATTAAGTTGAGAATAACCTCTCCCTCTCACATTTTAGGAAATAATGATAAAAGATACCTTCTCCCTCTTACCTATTAGGGAAAGCAAGGTAAAGGAACTTCTTTACAATTTTTAAAAAATAATTTAGCTTAGAAATAAATTCTTCCTATTATGTATTAGGGAAAGACAACTTTTCATAAGTTTTGAAAAAAAAATGTTTAAAGATTGCTTCTTCCTCTCACGTATTCGGGAAATCAAAGTAAAAATGACTTCTATAGAAGTTTTTTTTTTTAATACCAAAGTTTAAGAATACCTTCTTCCTCTCACACATTAAGGAAAGCATGGAAAAATAACTTATTTATAAGTTTAGAAAAAGGATTTAGTTTAAAAATGCTTTCTTCCTCTCACATGTTAGGGAAAGCATGGAAAAAAGTAATTTATAAGTTTAGAAAAATTAATTAAGTTTAAAAATACCTTCTTCCTCTCACATGTTAGGGAAAGCTGGTTTAAAAAACATTGGAAAATAATTTATAAGTTTAGAAAAATTGATTAATTTTAAAAATACCTTCTTCCTCTCACATATTAAGGAAAGCATGGAAAAAAGTAATTTATAAGTTTAGAAAAATTAATTAAGTTTAATACCTTCTTCCTCTCACATATTAGGGAAAGCATGGAAAAAAATATTTATAAGTTTAGAAAAATTAATTAAGTTTAAAAATACCTTCTTCCTCTCACATGTTAGGGAAAGCATGGAAAAAAGTTTAGAAAAATTAAAAGTTAAAAATACCTTCTTCCTCTCACATATTAGGGAAAGAATGGAAAAAAAAAAAAAATAAGTTTAAGAAAAAATTGATTAAGTTTAAAAATACCTTCTTCCACTCTCATATTAGGGAAAGTGAGCATCGAGGGGCAGGCCGTGGAAGACTCGAAGAAGCTCTCAGACGGCCTCGTGGTCTACCAGCTGCCGGGCTTCCTCTTCGACCACCGGGAGCGCGTCCGGGAGGCCTTCGAGCTGCTGCAGAAGGAGACCCCGAGATACGGTCCCATGGGGAGGCCCCTGAGTAAGCATTTTTGTTTGGTTTCGTGTGGTTTTTCGTTTTCTGTTTCTCTGTCTCTGTCTGTCTGTCTCTGTCTCTGTCTGTCTCTCTCCTCTGTCTCTCTCTCTGTCTCTCTCTCTCTCTCTCTCTCTCTCTCTCTCTCTCTCTCTCTCTCTCTCTCTCTCTCTCTCTCTCTCTCTCTCTCTCTCTCTCTCTCTCTCTCTCTCTCTCTCTCTCTCTCTCTCTCTCTCTCTCTCTCGCTCTCTCTCTCTCTCTCTCTCTCTCTCTCTCTCTCTCTCTCTCTCTCTCTCTCTCTCTCTCTCTCTCTCTCTCTCTCTCTCTCTCTCTCTCTCTCTCTCTCTCTCTCTCGCTCTCTCTTGCGCTCTCTCTCTCTCTCTCTCTCTCTCTCTCTCTCTCTCTCTCTCTCCTCTCTCTCTCTCTCTCTCTCTCTCTCTCTCTCTCTCTCTCTCTCTCTCTCTCTCTCTCTCTCTCTCTCTCTCTCTCTCTCTCTCTCTCTCTCTCTCTCTCTCTCTCTCTCTCTCTTCTCTCTCTCTCTCTCTCTCCTCTCTTCTCTTCTCTCTCTTTCTTTTTTCTTTTGTTTTCTTTTACATTTTTCTGTAGATTTGTTGTTGAGACTCGTATTATCTCTAGACGTTCAGTTAAGTATTTTTAGACATGATATTTACTGTCTGTTAAGGCTCGTTCCGTGGAGGCTCGTGTTTTTATTTTTTAACCTAAGACTTTGGTTTTTATTTTACAAAATTATCAGACGCTCGCACAAACACACACGCACATATACTCGTGTGTGTGTGTGTGTCTGTGTGCACTGCTTATGACATTCTGATAACTATATACTATTTTCTTTCTTTCACAGATATGCCTATGCCGCCAATGAAACCGCCACAGTAAGAAATTGCCGACCAAAGGTTTTAGTCAATCAGAATTTTTTACCTGAAATTTGAATTTTACCTGAAATTTGATTTTGTTCTGTGGATTTCAACTTTTTAAAGAAACATTTTGATAGAATGATCGGAAGACTACCAGATTGAATAAAGGAAAATAATAAAATTGAATAATAATTAAGTTTTTTTTTTTTATTATTCTGCAAGTGTTACCTTTTTGTCTAGAATTAGGCATGTAGGCCTACAACTGCAAGTCCATCTATCAGAAAGCAGATAGATAAATCTGTTTATTCGTAAAACTACAATCATTTGTCCGATCATAGGAAACCCTTGTCTTTCCTCTTGTCAATCAATAAACCATGGAATACCCTTGTTCAGACATCTACACCCATGTACACACACATGTTCACCCGTGGCCAAGCATGGACACAAATGAACTTCTATGTACAATAGTTCTGAACAGGTGAACGCCACGATACATACAACTACATTTACAAAGACGTCCATTTATACATATTTATATGATATATCCATGTACAGTTATGTGCATACATGGATACGCTTGTATATCCATGTGCAGAACACACCATCTTTATTATTGTACATGTATTATGCACGTGTGTGTGTATGTGCACGAGTTGTGTAAATAAACTGGCTCATGCACACGCACACACATTCCAAAATGCCTTGTCAAGTCGTTATTTACTTCATGACCAAAATTGACTCGGTTTCCCAAGTAAGCATAGTCAGTCACTCACGACTATGAATACATTTCTCACTCAGCCAATCTGCGGACAGTTGGAATTTTCTCGCCCGCCAGTTCAAAAACCAATCTGTAATTTTCTTTCTTCTCCATTCCTACTTCTTTGCCTTCTTTTCTTCTTCTTCCTCCTCTTCTTTTTAGGGATGTGACTGCTTACTCAGTGTTATTTTATTAAAATATTTAGAGAATCTTACCCATGACGATATCACATTGGATCATTTCTTTTCCAAATCAGTTGCTGTTGAACGTTCTTCAAATTTCTCACGATTCGTACAGATAATCCTATACTGAAAATGTTTTTTTATATACTATGGGACACGCACGGCACATCGCAGGGACAATCTTTTTCTTTGGAAATTCTTGGAAATTGTGCAAAGATTGGCCTATTTTCACTTATTAAAACTTTAGACCTATTTTCATACACATTGTAGTAAGTCAGCTGGAAAAAAAAGATCAGCATTATGATTTCATGACACAACTACACAGTGCAGTGCAGTGCAGCTCTTACATGTTAAATACACAGAGGATTAACCTATGGGCGGTCTAGTCTGCTAGCCATGGATTTTGTAACTGTATAGTTTATGTTTACAGAAAAAATGGGTTATAAAGTGAATGAATAAGTAAAGAATTGAAAGAGATATTGTGGCTTTGTGAGCCGGAGGACGAGAGGACACAGCAAAAAGTATTACGCATTCGTGAATTTGCGTTTGCTTTCGTTAGTCCATCACGTGCTGTCGCCCCGCTCCCCCCCCCCCTTTACATGGCGATTTTTTTTTTTTTTTTTTTTTTTTTTCTTAGTCACTTGACCTCTCTTGGTTCCTTTGGCCTCCTTCGTAGCTGGTGTATGTATGTATGTCCTGCTGATCGTATTTTTTTTATGGCGTCCTCTTCGTATTCTCGCGATGTTCCATTTTTGGTCAAAGTCTGTGCAAGTAATTATGTAAGACGTTTTTTTCTTTCTTTCTTTCTTTCGTTTTTTTTTTTTTTTTTTTTTTTTTTTTTTTTTTTGTGTGTGTGTGTGTGTGTGTGTGTGTGTCACTCGCCCCATGTCTGTTTCGCATGTTCATGTGACATCGCTTCGCGCTTTGTGCTGTCACATGATGATGACTACGTTCGAGTGTCTACGCACACACACTCACTAACACACATACACGCACACTCTCTCACACATACACACGCTCACACTAACACACACACACACTCACACTAACACACACATACACGCACACTCTCTCACACATACACACTCACACTAACACACACACACGCACTCACACTAACACACACACACACACACACACACACACTAACACACACACACACTCACACTAACACACACACACAACACAAACACACACACACTCAACACTAACACACAACACACACACACACACACACTCACACTAACACAACACACACACACACACACACACACAACACACACACACACTCACACTAACACACACACACACGCACACTCTCTCACACATACACACTCACACTCACACACACACACACACTAACAACACACACACTCACACTAACACACACAACACGCACATTCTCTCACACATACACACGCTCACACTACACACACACACACACACAACACACACACACACACACTCACATACACACACACTCACACTAACACTAACACAACTCACACTAACACACATACACGCACACTCTCTCACACACACACACTCACACTAATAACACATACACGCACACTCTCTCTCACACACAACACTAACACACACATACACGCACACTCTCTCTCACACACACACTCACACTAACACACACATACACGCACACTCTCTCTCACACACACACACACTCACACTAACACTAACATACACATGCACGCACACTCTCACACATGCACACACACACACACTCACAAACACAAACTGACACTAACACACACCTACACGCAACTCTCTCTCACACACACATCACACTAACACACACATACACGCACACTTACACACACTCACACTCACACTAATACACTAATTCGCACAACAGTAGGATCATAATTTAAAAAAAAAATAATAATAATAACAGAAAGAATTTATATAAGCATTCAGTTCTATAGTTAAAAAGCCTGGGAAACAGAACAAACATAACACGGGACTGAATGTGACTAAATGTGTAACGAATGGAGATCCACCCCCTTATTTTGCTTGTTTTTGCTCATTTTACACCATCATTTAAACATGTCAAGCACTTATAATGATGAACTAAGGCTTAAAGTTCAATAAAATAAGCATGTATAACTTCAACACAAACTGTATGAAGAAAAAAAGATTAATGTTTACCAGAGCTTGTGTTTTACACTGGGGGAGACAATACGCCATCACAATTATTTCCTGTTTCAACTCATAAGCGGCAAGTCTAATTAACACAGAGATTATGATATCACTGAATTTACTCATGGGGCACGTTCGATTCGTTGTGTTAGCATTGATCCAGCGTTTCTTCTTCTTCTTCTTCTTCTTCTTCTTCTTCTCCTTCTTCTTCTTTTTTTCTTCTTCTTCTTCTTCTTCTCCTTCTTCTTCTTCCTCTCCTTCTTCTTCTTCTTCTCTCTTCTTCCTTCTTTCTTCTTCTTCTTCTTCTTCTTCTTCCCGCACAATAGGGCTTGACAATGTTTCTTTAATGTTTGAAAATAAATGTGCTCGACATCAAAAGGTCATACATATTACACTCTCGTAAAGTACTGTGTCCGAAAGAGCGAAGGAGAGTTAAAGATTACGATAAGATGTGTTAACAGGGCTGGCCAAGTGGAGCTGCTTCCAAGGGCTTCTCTTAAACCCCAATTACACATCAACGTCTTTGGGGTCGACTTTTGCGCCGAATTGAGTTGAATGCCGTAGACAGTATTTCTACATGTGTGTGTATGTACATGTAGATATATGTGTTTATATATATATATATATATATTATATATATATATATATATATATTATATATAATATATATATATATATATATATATATATATATATATGTGTGTGTGTGTGTGTGTGTGTGTGTGTGTGTGTGTGTGTGTGTGTGTGTGTGTGTGTATGTATATATATTATATATATATATATATATAATATATATATATATATATATATATATATGTATATATATATATATATATTGTGTGTGTGTGTTGTGTGTGTGTGTGTGTGTGTGTGTGTGTGTGTGTGTGTGTGTGTGTGTGTGTGTGTGTGCATGATGATATCTCTCTTCTCTTCTCTTTTCTCTCTCTCTTACTCTCTCTCTCTCTCTCCCTCTCCCTCCCTCCCCTCTCTCTCTATCTCTATCTATCTCTCTCTCCCTCTCTCTCTCTCTCTCTCTCTCTCTCTCCCCCTCTCTCCTTCTCTCTCTCTTTCTCTCTTCTTTTCACTTCTCTCTCGCTCGCTCACCCACTCACTCACTCTCTCTCTCTCTCCTCTCTCTCTCTCTCTCTCTCTCTCTCTCTCTCTCTCTCTCTCTCTCTCTCTCTCTCTCTCTCTCTCTCTCTCTCTCTCTCCTCCTCTCTCTCTCTCTCCCTCCTCCTCTCTCTCCCTCCTCTCCCTCTCTCCTCTCTTCTTTTCTTTTCTCTTCTCTCGTCTTTTCTCACTCACTCTTTTTTTCTCTCTCTCTTTCTCTCTCTCTTATCTCTTCTCTCTCTCTCCTCACTCACTCACACTCTCTCTCTCTCTCTTCTCTCTCTCTCTCTCTCTCTCTCTCTCTCTCTCTCTCTCTCTCTCTCTCTCTCTTCTCTCTCTCTCTCTCTCTCTCACTTACCCTCTCTCTCTCTCTCTCTCTCTCTCTCTCTCTGTCTATCTCTTTCTGTACGTATTAATCTGCTTTGTCTTTCCTCTGGCATTTCGACAGGATGCCGACGTGACGGGGGGGGGGCCCTCCCTTGCTCCATCGCATCCTGGGGAGGTCTGCTTCTCTCGTGCCTCAGAAGCGAAAAGACTTCGAGACAGGAAACTAATTCTTTTCTGGACAAGTTTTTTTTCTCTCTCTCTTTATTCTACGGTGATTGGATCCAATAAGTGCGTGTTGATGACCCTTGTCAGAAAGCAGAAAGATAAGAACGGGTTCGTGTGAGGACGTGTGCTTGTGTTCGTGGACTTTAACATATAGTCTTGTCTCGATCTTTTATGTTTCGAGATTTGCTGAAGATTTTCGGTGACATGCTGCTTCTCGGCGGTGTGATCCTCATAATGCTGGGTCAGGCGAGCGAAGGATGGAAAGTGTCTTTGACCGACCCGGAAGTCGACCGAAAATTTCCAACCTGGAGCCAGAAAGCCGATGTTCTCGAGAACTTCCGATCTCGGTTGGCCCTTCATTACTCAAAGCTCAAGGACGAGGAGAGAATGCAGAGCGTCCGCGTGTTCGAAGGCAGTGGCAATGACGATGACGAAGAGAGTGGCATGAGGAGTGATGGCTTTAACGAAGCGGACGACCTGGACACGTGCAGGACTCCGGACAAGGACAACCCGGAGAAAGTGGTCTGCAATTTTACCAATATTCCACAGGTTGGTCTCGTGCGACTCTAGATAGATAAATAAATAGGCAGAGAGAGAGAGAAAAAAAATGAGTGAGAGAGGGGGGGGAGAGAGAGAGAGAGAAAGATAGGAAGAATCTATATTTTATTTTTTCCTTTCTTTTTTTCAGGTTCCCAGTCGCCTGCCGCAGAGTTTGTACAGGCGAGACGGCCTCACCGAGCTTTACATATATGGATCGAGGAAACTTGGCTTCAGAACTCTGTGCTTAGAGGAGCTCCATTTCATTGACTGTCGGGTCGCGGATGCCATCGACTACCGCTCTACTGGGAAGTGCGGGGCCCCGTTGGACTCAATGCAGCTCTCGAATTCTCACGTCGACGCCGTCCTGGGGAACTTTAACAAAATTATAGTCACCAATAGTGTAATTGGCAACCTCAATGTGTCTCTGTCTTTGAAATCTAGGTACATCTACGTCAATGCCTCAGACATAATTACCCTGCGGGGGATGGAGACTCCCCATTATAATTTTTTCTGGATATCAAAGACGCGGGTGGGTACAGCTCTCCGAGGCGGGATTAAGCTAACAAGTCGGTTCTTGCGCACACGCCCCAGTCACGTCGAAGTAAGCAGCTTCGAGTCGATCGAACCCGGCGGCATTCAGGTTCAATCCGGAAAACTCGCGATGAGCAATGTCACTATAGGTCACCTGGGGGAAGGAGGAGTCGAGATCCGGGGGCCGGCAGAGGTCAGGATGGTACAAGTTAAGATCCAGAACTCTTCCTTCGAGGGGATTAGTCTCGAGGGCCCGAGCGCGGTGCTGTACATGCAGGACCTCGAACTCGACGGCGTCGTTTTGAGCGCGCGGTTCGTCAGCACCTCCTCGGAGCCCTTCGTTTTCTATCCGATGCGGCTCTTCCTTCGCCAGGCGCGTCTTTTCGACACAGCAGTTACTGCGGTGCTTTGCGCGCTTGCCTTCGCTTTCGGCGTCATCGTAGGTGCGCTGGTGACTTCCTGCTGTTGCTTGAGGAAAAAAGGGACCGCCAAAATAAATATAACCGAGCCTCCCCAGAAGAGAGTTCAGAATGTAGATGATACAACTGGAAGAGGAGGAAGAGGCGGAGCCACAGCCTCACGTGACATCGCAGCTTTCCAGAGCTCCCAAGCACTCAGAGCTGAAGCCGAGCTGGAACCGGTATATGGGAATATCAGACAGCCGCTCTGCCAGCATAGGGGTAGAGAGCCATTTACTAAGGATACAAATGAGACCCCACTCTATCAAGACACAAGTAACGAAGCCCTCTATCAGGACACAAGTAGAGAACCATTCGTAAGCGGCACAAGTGGAAAACAACTCTACCAGGACACAGGGACAGAACCACTCTACCAGGACACAAGCAGCGAACCAATCTATCAAGACACGGGTAGAGAACCACTCTATCAGGATACGAGCAGCGAACCAGTCTATCAGGACATAGGTATAGAGCCACTCTACCAGGATACAAGCACAGAATTGGGCTTCCAAAACAAAGCTAAAGAACCATTGTACCAGGGCACACACAGAACACCAATCTCCCAGGGCGCAGGTAGAACACCAACCTACCAGGGCGCAGGTAGAACACCAACCTACCAGGGCGCAGGTAGAACACCAACCTACCAGGGCGCAGGTAGAACTACCAGGGCGCAGGTAGAACACCAACCTACCAGGGCGCAGGTAGAACACCAACCTACCAGGGCGCAGGTGGGGTTGTAAAGACATACCCTGAGACTTCAGGCCAACAGGACGGACCACCTGACGAAGAACCCCTCTATGGTAACGTTGGGCAGGACCCGATCTACGGAAACTTAGGAACAGACACCCATTCAGGAAGATGTGAAGATAACGGCGATGAAGCGATATATGCAAATTTCGGAGTGGACGAAGAGATTTATGCAAATATCTAGAAGGCTGGCAGTATTTTTCTTTTTTCTTAGGAACCGGAACCGCTAGATATATTTTAGCTTATATGTTGTAATCATGTATAACCATAATTCAAATTGTTTTATATGTTGTAAATATATGTAAAAATAAATCGTGGATAGAAAGTG